TCCACTAGATTTTCCATATACCTAGAGTTACTGCGCCATCTACAGTTTAGTCTTCTGATAAGCTGCTTCATAGCTTAATTTAAGAAATGTGGCGAAAAGATAGAGCAACGGTTAACGATTGTTAGAGTTATGCTACGCAGTATCTGTTTTCCGTTTCAGTTACACAGCAATGTCAAAAAAGCTTTACTAGCAGTCGGCAGGCAATGACGAAAACTCCGAGTGATATTTTTACATGAGCGTGCTATTTATAACTTCTCCGAGAAAGTTTCTCATAAAATCGCTCAGTTGTTCGGAGCAGAGGACCAGCACGGTATTAAGAGCACATGGTTGACTATTTCGGAACATTTTTTCATTTGGATAAATTTTCATATTTCAATATATATTTGTACATACATATATTAAAAGCCTTACACTCAAACTGTGCCTCGAAGCCGTTAGTTTAACCCTTATGTTAGTAACCGGGTACCCACCGCGGTGTATTTGTGTGAATAGCTTAAAAAAATTCAATATTTCATTTTAAGCTCTCAAATCGTCGTTTTTTTAACTTAAAAGAAAGCTATTTGTGAGTTTATTTAATTGATTTATTTTTTATTTTTTATATTTTTCTTTAAATTGTCACTGACTATTAATATTTGAAGAAAAAAATTTTTTCTAAAAAATTTTAATAAAATAAACAGAATAATAATAATACTCAGATCGTGTTGCTAAAGGACGTCGGTAAAGTTGGTTACTAACATAAGGGTTAAGGCGACAGGCTCAGAGACTCCATAATACTTTTTTTTTTATTTTTTGCATATCTAACGGCGTTCGAGTGCTGTTTTCCAACTAAAAAGAGTAAAAATATCTAGTGAAATCAACCACTTCACTAGTTATCTGCCGTGCAGTCCACCAGATTGTCGCCAGTATATGCTAATTGATTAATGAAAAGCTATTGGGGAGACAATAAAACGAACCACGCCATAAACAAGTGAACCAACTATTTCTGTGCCATCGTCTACACCCTCCAGTGTCGCCATGTGGGCCAACGTCGCCTTTGCTATTGCTGCGCCCCTCCACGCCGCGCTAAAGGCCATTCAGTCATTTGTACAATATATACATATTGTACATATATATATAAATGTATTTATTTAAATTCTAATGCATACAAAAACAATTAGTATGCAACACACACATAAACTAGACTATTTGCAAATATGACAGTATACACACACAAACACATACATAAATAAATTTATGCTGGCAAATATGTATGTCTGTATGTATGTGTGTGGACGCTTATCAGCAGACGAATGGGTACTCATAGCACAGCCGACTGCCAGACAGACGGCGTCAATCTGCTCTATGTATATACATACATACATATACGTATTAGGTGGAGGGTAGTGGTGGGGAGATGACCAACAACTTGAATGCGAAATATTGTTTAGCCCTCGTTGAAACGAACGCTCCACATGCGGCTGCTGATAGTGGGCATCGCATATAGAATAGTTGTTTGAGATGAAATTAAAATAAATGAAGTGATAAAAAATATTAAAAATAAAGCAAAGTGTGAAAAAACGAACACCAGCGAATGTTCACACTATTTCATTTGATTACTGTCTGCAACTATATTGTATCAGACGTTACATACTAACGCAATGTGTAGCGTGCACACATATGCAAACACATGTGCACATCGCAAACGTGTTGTTGAAACGCGGCAGCGCCTCAGTATTTAATCGGTCACTTCGTGAGCGCTTGCTAAAGTGTTGGCAACGCGCTTAGCTGCAATTAATGTGCTGCCGTCTAGCGCTTTGCAGCGTTCGGTGGCGTCAAGTGCGTGCGTTTCATTACTACAGTATGTATGTATGTGCTTCGTGGGCCATATGCGAAATTCAAGAAGGCATTTTCATATATAGAACTCTACATTTAGTTGTATGCAGATTTAATTATCGCACAAAAACCGGCGATAATGGCGAAAGCTAACCAAACAAGTGGCTCGTCAGCCCGACATACAGGATGAATAGCTAGTCGAACGGATGTTCGGATTGTTTGGTGGGTGGCTGCATAGCAAAGCTGATGCTTATGAATTAGACAAACAATTATGGTGTACAAACATACTTCTATATATATATATATATATATATACCAGATAAATGTATATGTAAATATTTATATTTTTAATATAAACAATAGTGAGTAGAAATGCACCTTCTAAATGCGCTGCTTATAGCGTTTAATATTTGCCATATTTGAGTAGTTTGCGGTAGTGCAAACATGCGTACTCGAAATTCTTTGGCACATTTATATCATGACACTTGATTCCGATTGTTCAGTATGTGTGGCAGCTATATGCTGTATTGATCTGATATAAACAAGTGTTTGGGAGATTATATTGTGGTCTTTGACAATAACTCATGCCTAATGTCGTGAATATACCTCGTCAAATAAAAAAGTTTCCCATGCAAGTACTTGATTCCTTGAACTTGTTGTTCAGTTTGTATGGCAGTTATATGCTTTGTAGGTTCGACTTATGTGCAGCTTCTTGGGGAAAATTTCATATCGATATCTGAAAAACTGAAGGACTAGTTCGGTAATATAACATATACAAACAGCCGAAAATTGCTAATTCGATGATCATTTATATATAACATACATATTTAATAGGGTATCCGACGTATCCTTCTAGGTGTTACAAACTTAATGGCAAACTTAATATACCCTGTTCAGCGTATACCATAAATATTAATGAGGGAGCTTATAAAGATTATGCACTTAGAAAAGTGGAAACTAATATTGAATTCGATCGTCAAATTTCATATGGATAAGGTAAAAAATGCAAAGGTAATCAGAAGCAAGCTTAATTATTCATAAAATATTTTATTGTAGTATATTAAAATTTTTTTTTCGAAAAAAAATTAACAAAATATGAGAAAAAAATGGTATTTGAGGAAGTTTAGAGAACTTGGTCTAAAATAATCGACACCAACTTAGGTTTTTGTAAAATTCTTCAAAAATAATAATGTTTTATAGAAGAATGCATTCACTTGAGTTATGTATATACTATATACAAGTAAATACACTTAAATTCCTATCCTTATCGGCAGACCTAACCACAAATAAATGTAAAGTAAACAATGAGCAAAAATTTAAAATTTTGCATAAAAAGTCCATAACATACCATAAAATTTGTCGTATTTGTGAAAGTATGGAAAAAATCAATTCCACTCGCGGTGTTGGCGTTTTTCATAGCTACTAGTCTACAGCATACAGCTGTTGAGCGTGCAAATACAAATTAATATATGTACATGTGTACAGGATAACTTACAGAGCGAGAACGCAGCAATTGCATTCAAAAAATAGCGCGCATGCGCTAAGCACCAGCATCAGCACCGTTGTTTGTAAGGATACCGGCTGATAACAACTGTGGCAGAAAAACAGCTGACCCCGTTGCCGGGAAAAGGTAAAACTGTGTGTTGGTACGTACGTGTGTGTCTCGTTATTTCAGCTGAGCTAAGCCAAAGTGCTAAAAATAAATATGCTCATAGTCTAATATACATATTTACATTTATTTAAACATATGCACTTACACATTAACAAACAAACAACAAAAATGCGGGTTATTTAACACTAGAACTACGAACCGGTCAAAATGACCGGTTGCGTCATTTATTTATACCATTTCCTCATTATTCCTATTTATTACCTTACGATAATGTTATGATTTTTATTAAATTTTTGTATAAAATAATACTATAGATAATTTTATTCTTACGCTTCTAAGAGAGAGACCTATTTGAAATAGGTATAATATATAGTAAGTCTTCGTAGTTCTAGTGTTAAGACGATAGCAGGACATAAATATCCTCCGGGAAAGTCAAGATAGTTGTATGTAAACGCGTGTGTTCGAACGTGAAAATATTCGAGTTATCAAGAGTTTTATATTTATAATAACTCATGATCTTGGTGTATAAATATTGGAGTTACATACTTATTTATGTTTAGAGGTGAAACATGAGGCGGCACAGCGTCTAGTTGGAGATTATCCGCGTCGGTTTTATCAAATTCTGAGAAAAAAAGTCGTTCAATATCATGTTATAATGATCGCTGTTGATTGTAGGCATTTCGTGCCTTATATCGAAAGAAATATTAACATATAGTCTGTGCAAGCAATAACTTGTGTTAAAATTTATATATTTCGATAAATCTTAGTCGCATGTTCCTTGACACCCAAGGAAAGTTGATGTTACAGACTGGCGGGATCACACGCCCACAATACGCTAATGATGTAAAACATATAAAGTGCCATAATATGGAATGGATTATAACACCGCGCACTCTCCATGTAACGGTTTTGTTAGAAACTAATAAAAGTGCAATAAACCCAGAACTAAATGCGCCAGAGATATACAATTTTTCACACAAGATGGTACGAGAGGGCGTTCTTGGAGCCCGTGTCAAATTTGGACGATGGGCATGGCACCGTTCACATTTAGGTGAAATCACATATCTCCGGACCTACTATGCCAATTTCAAAAAAATTTGGTACATGGCATTGTTGTGACATCTTTATGTCACAGCGAGAAAAAAAGTTATTAATCACGACAAATAAAGCTTTGTACGAATAGTGCTTTTGTGGTGTGCCACCTTATGACCAAAAACTTGTCCAAGTCGGACCTAAACTATTTAAACACCCAGATACTGAATACGTGGAGGGCAGTTGCTACTGCGAACTTTTTACCGAAAATATCGTTCAAGCTAACATATATTATTGAAATTCGTAAAGATTTTTTCCCGGCTTTGATCCTTGCAAGTTGCAGGTGTGTAAAATGTTCGGTTATACCCGAACTTTGCGCGTCCTTATTTGGTCGATAAACGTTTTTTTTTTTTCGAAAACATGAATTTGCATAATAGTTTTGAACAATTTCCAAGCGTTGTACCAAAGTGAGATGTGGCATGCTGAATTGGCAAATCTTACTGAACACACTGACAAAGTCTGACAAAAATCCGTAAGAAACATGTACATTTATCTAAATAATTTTATTATCAAAAATTTTCTTATATTACATTTTTACGTATGTATTAAAACCGATTTGTATCAAAAAATAATAATAATTGATTTCTCAGTAAAAACCTTCCACATCTGCTTTTGTGATAAAGTCGGTGGCCAATTCCTCATTGATTGCGTCCATAATACGGTGATCGTCGAGAAAATTATGGCTCATATCACGCTCCAGCGATTTGTAAGAGTCCGCGTTTAGGCGGCCTAGAGCGCCCTGATACAAAACTTCCATTATCGCTTTGTTCGCATAGAGCTGCTGATCGCGCTCCAAGCGATGATAGAGCGCCACCCAGCTAGCGCCCAAAGTCTGTGCTTCAAGCGAAAGTGATGCTGTCAGTGAGTGTGTATTGACGATGCCGGCTGCGGCGCTCGTGCTTTGCAGCGGCAAGACGTTAAACTGTTGTGTGCTAAGCGTAGCGACGGGTTGTTGTTGATGTTGTGTTTGTGACATTGCTGTCGTCTTTGGCGATGTGACTGCTAAAGACTTTTCGCTATCTTCCTCTGTGCTCGAACTCGGCGCCGAATCTGGTGTTCGCTTCTTCGTTAGCTTATTATTTGAGTTCGGCTTACGACCGCGTCTTTCAATCTACAAAAAAAATTTAAAAAAATCAGTTGAAATAAAAGCTCTAACATTCAGCCCGATATGCGTATGTGTGTGTTAGCTCACGTTCACACTTACTTTTCCCTCGCGCTCGTCTCGTTCTATATCAATGTCGAGCACGTCATCGAGAAAATGCATCTCTTTGAAGTAGAACAATGTTGGCCGGTACAAATTATCACCCTTCCGCTTGCTATCCTGTATGCGTCGCAGTTCGCGTCTGTAGCAGGACCTCAATCCGTTTATGCGCCGCTTCACGTAGTCGATTTGTACGTTCGGATCGATTTCGCGCAGTTTGTCACGTAGTTTGGTGTATGCTTCACGTTTGAGATATGGCTTTTTGTAAGCCATACTTCTGGGATCCCAAAGCGCTGGCGATTCCTCATAGATCTTTATGAAATCCTTCCAGAATTGCACACCACCGCCGAGACACGATACGTTTTGTAGTTCCGACATCTTCCGTTTAATAATAATAAAGATAATCTTTTCACTCGGACCGTATAAGCTGTACTAAGTATTGTGATAAGACGTGCTACAAGTTGTCAGACACGTTTGAAGACAGGCCAGGCGAACATCGCTCTTTGGCGTTGCCACATGTGCCGAATTTTAAAGCAATATTTGCTAAGCCTGACATTAAGTGGAGAATAAACTATCGTAGCAATGTTATCATGAGCATTAATAATTGTATACAGTTGCAGATAAACGCTCTAAGGTATTTTAGCTTTGTGCCTATTTTTTTACAAAAAAACATGCTGTTTAATATGCTGTATTAAAGTATTTGAAAATATGTGCAGAAAATATACGCAATTTTTTTATTCAAGCTTGAAACGTCGCGTGTAATATAGTGATTCATAAAGTACCTCCGATGTGTATTCCTTTGCTTATGACGAAATTTAATTGACAATCGCTTTTATTTTTATTTAAACTTTTTTGTTTGAAAAATTAGTCATTTTTTAGAAAACACATTATTTTAGGTATAATATCGCATTAGCAAGGTGTGTACATTTATCTGACCTTGGAAGAAAGTAAATTAACAAAATTGCGCTGCATCTATCATATCCCATATGGTCTAGTGGCTAGGATATCTGGCTTTCACCCAGAAGGCCCGGGTTCGATTCCCGGTATGGGAAATATATTTTTTTGTATTTTATTCTTACTTTTAATATTCTTATTTCATTGCTCATGTAACATTTCCATCAGGCTACATCAATTTGTGTGGGTTCCCTTTTTTTTTTGTCACACATTCTATAAATTTAACCCATCGAACGGGATTTGAATACCACACTTTATCATTTAGTATGATCTCTCTCAAACATGTTGGATGCTTTATTTTACCGAAGCCTTGAGTTTGACGATCGAACTATTAACTGATAACAGCCTTTTACTCGATGTAGAGGCGGGCAAGCCAAGTCTATAGTATTTTCAAAAACGTTATCTGCTAAAAGATGCCGTAAAGAAAGTGCCCTCATACATATATGCATATATGCATTGTTTGTGTGATTATGCCTTTGCGTTTAAATTTTCTATATGGTATAAATAGCTATGCTCTGTAAGTGTTAAAAGGTCAACCTGTATGATTACATTAGTGATAATGTTATCAGTGCGGTTTTTAGGCGTGTAGCATGTTTCTACGTAGGTGTGTATGTTTGCATATATGTGTGTGTCTAATTTCGTGTGTTCATAGACAATACAATAGTTATTACATATTAATTGTCCCATAAACGACAGAATGCCCCAGGAGAAGATTGGTTAGATTTGGCATCATATATTTGGAAATCTCAATGTAGTTTTTACAGACAAATCACTCTGTTACTAACCGATATTCAAGTGCTTTTACATCAAGAACTTTACCTCTAGTCTGTAGTCTGTAGTCTCACCCCGCGTACGCTAGTTTGAATTGGTGTCAGAAATTCAGTAACAGAGAAGAAAACATTTAGTCTTTTTAATGGATTCGTTTTTTTTTTTTTTTGTTTTATTTTGTTTTAGCTATTATTATTATAATTTTTTATTTATAAATTATATTCGACTTATCAAAACCCGTCAATCGCCTTATTGGCGACACGACACAGCTGCGTTCTCAATAGCCGTCTACTCATCTTTGCCATAATTACTAATTATTTTTCGACTCAGCCATTTCTACATAACTCATTTCACCATAACTCATTAGTTCATTAAGAGCGTCGCATTTAATCACCCCTACCTTACATACTATGTAAGGTGCATGGAAGTGCACAAATACTTAAATAATCATATGCGACGCAGCTCATTCCGCAATCCGGCAATCAAGTCACAAGACAGCCGACAGTTCATGCGTTTTGATTATGGCAAAACATTTAATATTCTCTTAATGTATATGCTTCGCTTAATAACGCACATTAGACGCTCGTTTAGTGGCAAATACACATACATAATACATGAGCGAATTTAGTATAGGAAGCGACACGGCAGGTTGGCGGCGATTGTCGGCTGCCGTCAGGACCAGCGTACACTAAAAGCCACGTCAGCTGGTTATCTACTTTTGTCAAGTTGTTGCCGCTTTTAATATGCTTTGTTGCTCAAGCATATACATATATGAATATACATATGTATGTACGTGGAAATACTGCCTTTAAAAGTCATGGCGCTTTGAAATATTGCTGTTCTATCCGCTTTTCGCTTACTCTATTGTCCTTTCGGCTCGACATCCTCCGCGACAAATGCGTTTTTCCCATGAAACATTTTGCCTTTCGACGACTTGTTTAATTAGAAAGGCGCGACGATTGAAAACCAAAATAATAGCTTTTCAATAGCGTTGACAATGCGTTTTATAGGCGTCAGCGCGTCCCCAGTCGATTATACCAATACCCAAGTGTCACTTAAATAGTCAACGTAGTTAACTTTGCACATTTTGCATAGATTCCAGCCGAACAAGGCCAACAATTGTTTACCGTTAATTGTTACTTAATTACTACGGTTTACAACAACATCACATTTTCACTTTGGCTTAGCATGTCGGTTTTCCACACACATATGGCAACAAGAAGACAGCAGAGGTTAGTGTTAGCAGAAGGTACGCTATAGAGCGTACCTGGCCAGGATAACCATAACACACACACACACACATACTACATATACATACATACATATTTACCTATATGTCAATGCAGATTTTATATAAATTTCAATATGTCTGCATTTATAAGCGAATACTTGCGACTTAGCTGCGCCTGTCTGGTATCAATAAGTGGTCCATAAGCAATTATATTCGGCGCCGACATTGTATTATATAATGTGACGAAGCGAACGATATATGAATGAACATGTGCACAACAGGCTGGCCGGTATTGGAAAGCACCACGCAGACTGGATATAAGCTTGCTTCAAACATACGTATATATATGTATATTAGTATGTAAATATAATAAGTAAATGTCCATACAATCTACGTGACATATGTTGAACATATGTGCATTCGTATGTACCATACATATGCTTATGCATTCGCGTAGAACCATTGCACATCCATAAGTACGTGACCATTTTCTTGCTACGCCGCGTTAACTTTGCTACTGGAATTTTCGATCGGTTACCCTGCAAAGCATTGATACCTTAGAGTGTACCGGTAATTTTAATCGGATTAGTGAGGGCATTAAATTGTGAAGCATGAAATCCCACTTACCTAGAAGCATGCAAACTCAGACATATGTACATACAAGTATGTCAATACTGCTCAAGTGTGGATTCTTGTAAAAGCGGTATATAGAAAAACTCTGGCTTGCCTGACAAATGACGGTCATTAACATACTTACATACATCTCTGTAAGCTATGTACATCTGTATTTATGTTAATAAGCGGTGGTCTTCTGGGTTGAGTGCTGGCAACGCCCTGTTTTGACAACAAGCCCGGAGGTCAATGTGAGGTTTCTTGAAAGAATTACATGAAAATTTCTTGAATTTTTCTTTGGAGAACAGCATTCAATTTTGAACAAAAACTTACTGAAAATGTTCTGGTTAAATTTCAAACGCCCTAACAGTGTTTTTTTTTTGTATTTTAGAAAACGCGTAAAATATGAAAAAAAAATATTATTATGATAGGGCTATAGGTATACTACAAATATTTAATTCGTACAGTGTACTTGTAGTTATCATTGGATATAAGTTCATAAGTATAAAAGTGGCTGATAGTCTCGGGATTAACTCGGAGAAAAAACACCAGAAAATTGGCTTAACTTAAGCTAGATTATATATCATTATAACCCAGTCATTGGTTATAATATAAATACATTTTTTATGCACTTTCTAGAAACAAAATACGAATTGCGAGTGTGAGTTTTGGACTATTGAACTCATGCGATTGCTATCAAGTTTTGTTGTTGGTCATCTGTAGGCTAGCTCCTAAGCATTTTGGAAGGAAAAAAAAACGTGTTGGACCACATCTGCAGCCATTCTTTAAATGCTTCCTCAGAACTGGTAGCCCAATAGTTTCTTTGTGTTCTTCCGAATAATTTAATGTATGAGGAATTATCGTCAAAAGTAATAAAACGTTAACTTGCTAGAGACACGTGCCTTCATATATACAGGTTGGTTAAAAAGTTGCTGCTCTCACCAAGAAAAAGGACTACTAGCTACAAATTTGTTTTCTCAAGTTGGTACATTTGTCGTGAGAATTACAAGTTACAAGTTGCAGAGTTACAAGTCATACTGTCAATTAATTCATTGTTTACAAACCGTTTGAAGTTGACGTGTCAGCATATTTTTTTAATATGGAAAAACTTTAATATCGCGCAGTGATTAGATTCTTTGCTTTGAAAGTTTTAAAAGCAAAGGAAATTTATGAACAATTGTTAGAAGTGTATAAGGAGTCCTCACCTTCATAACGCAACGTAGGCTTGAAGATGATCTACGCGAATGACGACAAAAAATCGCAAACACACCAGAAATCACTGAGCAAGTTTATAATATTGTTAGTGAAGATCCAAGTTTGACTAAGCGTGAAATTTATAATACTATAGGTACTCAGACGAACGAGTACTTCATATTTTAAATGGAGTATTACATAAGAAAAAGCTGTTTGGAAAGTTAGTGGCGTACACGTTAAAAATTCAAGAAAAACTGGATCGAAAACAAATTTCTCAGCATAATTTGGAGCGTTTTAAGTAGAATAAATCCGATTTCTTGCGTCGTTTTATAACTACGGATGAGACTTGGATCTAACGCCATGAACTAAAATTGAAAAGTGAACGTTTACAGTGGACTGAAGCTGGTTGTTCAGCTCCAAAGCAGGTGATGTCACAACGATCAGCAGGGAAGGTTATGGCATCAGTTTTTTAGGATACAAAACGAATTTTGTTCATTAATTATCTGCAGAAAAGAAAAACAGTCAACTCTAAATATTATTGCAGCCTTTTGGATCAGCTGGATGAAAAAATTCGTGAGAAAAGACCTGGTTTGCAGCACGAAAAAATCATTTTTCATCAAGAAAATGCGGCTACTCACAAAGCTGTTCACACAATGACAAAATTCAACGAAATAAAGTACGAATTGCTTAAGCATCCACCGTAGTCACCAGATTTGGCTTCCAGCGACTACAGCCGCTTCAGAAACTTGAAACAGTTCCTTCGTGGAAAGCGTTTTTCGTTGAATGAAGAATGGAACCGTGGACGGGTATTTTGTTGAGCTTCCGGAAAGTCATTATAGGGATGGCATTAAATTATAGGAGGATCATTGGAATATGCGTAGTTAAGTTAAGGTTCAATTATAAATTATTTTCAATTATATTGAATAAAATAATATAGTTCGTACCAAAAACAGTATTTTTCC